CTGAATATGCGCTGCACCTGCTGCCTACTTATACTCACGCTGTGATCAGCAGCAGCTGGATGCAATAATCGCATGCCAATGTGCATTGGCTCGTTTAGTTTACACTCGAAGTAGATTGGTCCCTCTAAGCGAGATCCCAATTTCGTCGGTCCTCCGACGTGACGTCTCCGTTCCCTCCTTCAGGGAACGAGGGTTACATACGTAACCAAGATGTTTCTTCTTAGAAAGAATAAATAAATGATGCTCTTGTGCACAATAAGCAAGCTAACATGCAGTACAATCTGTACATTCGGTGTTCATTCTGACTCCACTGTAGTTGCTTCATGTAAATTGCCACTGCTCCGCTGCAATAGACTTCTTCTCTGAGATCTTCAGTCTTTGTTTCTTTCATTGCAGATGGCAAAAGGCCGTATATTTACCGCTGCCGCTCGCCCAACATGGAGATCTTCACCTGCTGGTGGCGTCCGATCGCTAATCAGGACAACGTCACCTACACGTTCCTGTACACCACGGGGTGAGACGTGAACCAGACGCACTTCACAGCGTGCCTTTAATGCATCTGTGTAACATTCCATCGCTTTGATTTATCATCATGTTTCACCAGATTAGTGTTTGTTATGTGGAGTGTAGCTGTGAATAGTGAACAGACGTCATGTTGCTCCGCAGTGAGCGCGCTCCTCGGGAGTGTCCCGATTACGTGAGCGGCGGCATCAACAGCTGCTTCTTCGATGCCAAACACACTCAGGTCTGGGAGATGTACTGCATGAACGTGACCGCACACACGCGCACGGGGCCCATCACCTCTCAGAAACACTGCCTGGACGTGGTCGATATAGGTGATGCTTTACTCTAAATATTACAAGATATTGTGACGCTGGCATCAACTCTTCTGACTGAAATTTCTCCTGAGGTTTGCTCATCATCATGTTTGTTAATGAGTCTCGTGTGCTTCTGTCCCCAGTGGAGACCGACCCACCCTTTAACCTGACGTACATCATGCTGAACGAGAGCATCGGTGAAGTCGGCCGCAGTGTTTTAGTGTCCTGGTTGCATCCGGTTGAGTCTCTAGTGCATGAGGACTTGATCGTGCTCGTCTACGAGCTGCGCTACAGAAACCTCGCTCGGACAGACAGCTGGAGGGTACAGACACAGAGAGTCTGCTTATCACGTCTCCATTTTTATGATAACTGTAGAAGAGACAGGAATGGAGTCAAACATTTTGTGGTCTATTGGTCTGAAGGTAATGGAGCGTTTGCGCGAGCCTCGTGTGGAGTTTTTGGATCTGCCGGTGGGAACGTATGAGTTCAGTGTGCGCTGCCGCTCCACCAGCAACAAACACTGGAGTGCATGGAGCGAGTCCGTCATCGTCACCATCAACGGCAGAGCTCTGTCCGGTACTCACACACCACTTACGCATATATCAGACTGATAGCTGCTGCTCTAAGTGTCTGTCTGTCTGCCTCTCAGATCGGATGTTGGCCTTGATCCTTGTGACCAGCATCGCCATCATGATCGTCCTCTTCATCAGTTTGGGGAACATCCCACGAGGCAAGAGGTCAGTGACGTCATGAAGCTCGTAGCTCTGGTCTCAGTATTGACGGACTGTCGACGTGAATCACACAGATGGATTTGTAGATCTGCGTCATTAGCTCACATGAGAACATGGATCTAGAGGCTTCATCAGATGTTTAGTTCAGGCACCGAGAGTCACAAATCTGCAGACGGCTGCAGAGAAGTGATTAATAAACATACTAAATGATTTTTAATCTGAAAATGTAAACATGCAAAAAGGGTTCTGTGAGGGGTAGAGAATAAAAATACTGAAAATACTCTACTGGGCTGTGTTATGAATAAAGACTTTTAAATGGCAAAAGACAGTCAGGGTCAATGTGCTGTTTATTAAAAACAAGACAAGTCTACAGAAGGTCCTCGTTTAGCTAATGTCTGTGTGTTTGGTATCACTGTCTCATGGATGTTTTTCACTGCTTGTGTTCTTCCAGCAGGATTAAATCGCTCCTCCTGCCAGCGATTCCCAAACCGCGCATCCCAGGGCTTGAACCCGCTCTGCTGAAGGTCTGAGAGTCCCGTCACACCTCACACTGTTTGAGTTATTAGTAGTGTTCAGATCAGCCAAACAGCTCAGATCAGAAAATAGCTTAGCGACTGCATAGCAACGTCACGACAACTAGCACAACAATGTTGTATATGTATTGTATAATAATGATGTATTCGGAACCGCGTGAGGAACTTAATTTGAATCTTCAGCTTCTGTTTTTCTTGTCCCAACAGAAGGGGAAGATTGACGAGCTCAATCAGCATTTCTGCAGTTTTCACGGCTATAAGTCGCTGCAGTACTGCACGGATACGTGGTACCAGGTGAGCGTGGACACTAATCCGGCTGTGACGCCTGACGGTATACAGGAGGATGCATCGATCGGGCCAATCACGCAGTACGTCACCTGCCCTGACGGACAACAGTCTGTTCAGATCAGCTGCACTCCTGCGCCGTACTGTCGTGGCCCCGCCCCCTATTGTGAGGAAGACACGCCCCATCCATACCCTGGCCCCACCCATCCGGAGCTCGCCTCTGTCCCAGGCATGGACTACAGCATGATTCTAAGCCCCGCCCCTGCGGCACCGCCCACTCAGGACTTCTACACATGTGTGAGCAGCGTGACGCCCACCAGCGCGCAGCATTTGGTGCCCTACGTGCAGCTCAACGAGGGAGCGGATGACGAAGCAGACAAGAGCAGCCAGCTGGCAGCGCTGCTGGAGAAGCAGATGGAGGCGCTGTTGAGCATGATCGAGTCGGACCCGAGCGAAGCTGGCATGCCTTCAGTACCTCATTCTTCAGACAGGAGCAGCAGAAGCATCTAACACACACACACACACACACAGAATAACACAGTCCATGAGTCACGCAGTCTGTGCTGGTTTGTCTTGATGGGAAACGTGCCTGGAGTTTCAGTTCAAGCTGAGCGCATTCGCATGCAGAACGCCTGATTCACAGCGCAAGTGTCAGCAGCGCATCATTTTTCACTGCGCATGTTAAGAAATGAGGTTGTTCACATTGAAGCGTGAGTTAACGTAATCGTCGTCACCACAAAATTACGGTTCAGATCAAAGCGAGAGCTGCTCCTGCTCAGTTTAAGTGACAACGCACTAATATGGACTAAATGAACATATTTTAATCAAATTCATTGAATATAGTTTGCAAAGATGTGTAGATTTGATATGAATTATAGAAAGTCATGTAAATGATTTAGCTACCAGTCAGGTGAATTTTTCCTCCTCATGTAAATAAGATTTTTCAAAGACAATTAATGACCATTTTAGGTCATACTTAAATGATACAGTCACCGTAGTTACCTATAAATCTCTGCATAGATGAAAAGACGCTTTCAGTGTGAATTCAAGCGTGAGCGAAATACCATAAATTCAAAAGTGTGAAACAGGTGAGAGTCACAGTCATATAGCGATCGCAGATGATCTGCAGGCCAGTGTGGGTGTTTATGGTGAAGTCTGTCAGTCAGGACAGTCATGGTGTTTAATAAATGATGTGAGGCAATGTGACACAGGCTGTGTAGCATGTTTTTGTACATTAGATTATTTTCATGTGCTTTCTGTGTTTGTTTCTCATATAAATGTTGCCATCTGTGGGTAACTATATTACCATGTGGTCAAATAAAGAGAAACTAAAAATGTGGAGGTTTTGTGGTTTACACACACACATGAACGAATGAGGCCCAGTGTGTGTGCGTGTGTACTTGTTATGACCAAATGTCCTCACTTCTATTGTGAAATACATGTCAACCCACTAGTGAAACATTTGACTGATCCTCACTAGTTAAAAAGGCTCATAAATCAGCCAAAAGCTGTTGTTGATGTGAATCCAGTGTTCTGCACATTTGTGCGATGGGTAGGTTTAGGGGTTAAAATATAATTAACCTGGTAGAAAATCATTGGACGTCTATGCAATGTCACAATGATTGATGTTGTTTATGAGGGCACAATCTGTATAATAACATGGGTATGACACAGGTGTTACAATGTGAAGGTGGTTTATGACGACACTTCCTGTGTCCCTGTATTTCAAATGGCTTAAAAAACATAAATGTTGTTTTGTTTTGTTTTTTATATCTAAAAATGCCTATGGAAAGTCCCTTTTAATTAGTTTGAACTCACATACAGCTCAAACATTTAATTTCACAAGCAGGACGTGTGTGGTTTCAGCAGATAGTAATCGCCAGGCCTTCGGCTCCGGTTAGACTGGAATAAGATCACCTTGTGGGTTATGCAGGCATTTGCAGGCAGAAAAAAGACAAGAGAACTGTTAGGGAGTGGTGGAAACGACTAATGAGCCAATAAGTGCTCCTCTGCTGCCATCTACCGGTTACAGTAGTAATTTCCAGCCTTTTTTGTGAGGTCATCACATTAAAAAATTACATTTAAAGTGCTCCTATTATTCCATTTCAAATATTTCCTTTCATGCAGTGTGTAATGTAGCCGTATATAAATGTAAACAATCTGCAAAGTTGTAAAGCCGACAGTCTGCAATAAATAAAGTCGTCTCCTAAAAGAAAGAAAAACGAGTTGTCAGGAATTCGAATCCCACTTTATGCAAATGAGTAACACATTTGCATAATTCCTGCACTATGTCAGGAGTGACTTCTTTGTCCTTCCATCTGTTCCATAAGTTATTTTTGCCACCAGGAGCTCTTCTGACTGCAACTCTATTTTATAATGTGTGGCAAGAATCTTGAGGGATTGTTCATCAAGAAAGGTGTCTGATGCTGGATGGCAGGCTTGAATGCCCTTCATAAGATCTACTCCTACACCTGAGAAACGGTTGTCAATCTCCTGCATCATTCGGTCAAGACATGAAGTCATGTGAAGAACTGATTTCTGAGGTTGTCCCACATGCTGTCTCCACCACATAATCATCAAGCCTCTTCTGTTTCCTTCTAAAACCTTCAGAAGGTTCTGGAATGTTATTTGCCTCACACAAGGCCTTTGTCTTTGAATATAACCCTGTAGCACTCGGAGCTGTGCATTGTTCTTCAAGAGTCGTAGACGGCTGTTTTGTATTCCACTGCTTGTCCCAGATCTACGGTCTCCCTCTGCAGGGATTTGTGGAGGCCATCAGTGATGGATGGACGTCTATGAAACATCAGCAGCATGTAGACAGTGTTAAAGTTGCTGAGTCTGGACCGGAGGCCTACAGCCATTGGTGTTGAAATTTTGTCAAGACACTGCAGAATAGCTCAGAAATGGTCTATTACAGCACTGACAGACTTCACCTGACATGCCCAGCGTGTTGTTGACAGCTGTACCAGCTCAGAAGATTGTAGTCCAAGCTGCTTTTGAACTTTAGTTCATCACCAAAAGTTTACTGGAGACCAGTGGTGGAAAGAGTACTGAAAAAATATACTGAAGTAAAAGTACCATTACCTTCCAAAAAAATGTAGTGTGAGTAAAAGTATTTGTCCAAAAACACTACTTGAGTAAGAGTGAAAGAGTAGCCTATTTAAAAGTACTCATGAGTATTGAGTACTGAGCTGTGGATTCTACCCCCTCATAATAAACACTGTACACCGAAATTTATACATTCTGTAATTCACATTATCTTGCTTCTCATAAAGAATGAAGAATATCTATCATCCAGCAGTTTTAATTTTGACTGCCAACTCTTTAAAATACATCAAAACAGCACGGAAACAGTATTCAGTTGAAGAAAAGATGAAAGTTATTCTCAGTACAATCATCCCCATTTAAATCATAAAGTTTGAAAAAATAGATTTAAAATCATGTGTAAGGCCACTGAGACAGCATATGCTGTTGTTGCACATAAAATATTAATGTTTAGAACAGTGCAAATACAAACACCATTAGAAACTCATAGTTCAGCATCACTCACCATGATATGGGTTAAAATGAGAGCCCATTTCTCTCCAAAACGGTGCCAGTTTTAGCGTTTTGCAATAAAGAAATAAGAATAACTAAACTTGATAATTTATGTTACAATTTTAACATAAATGCACTTCTAGAAGGATGGCATCATGCCATACCTTTTACACATTTACTCAAATTATTATGCTGATAATACAATTTGTAAAGAAAAATGCATTAAATAACTGTATTTCTGGGGAAACTTTTTCAAAGGAAAACACACACACACACA